TATACCAAGTAGGTGTTTTTGCAACATTTTTAAAGCATTTCAGATATGTTATTTTGTGGTTCCTAGAATGTTTTTAAAATCTTATCTCGCGCACGCGGAAAGTATAACACAGGCTTAACTGCCCCCTCATAAAAACAAACAAACAAACAAAAAAATTCTATGCATTCACTTTTTATATACTTTTATTATCATTTATCCCTCCCTGTCCTAACTTTTGCTATTTTGAAAGATGACTGAAACCTTGTATAACGGGCACTTCTCGTGTTTATTGCTTTGGATAAAAGCGTCTGCTAAATGAATAAATATGTAAATGTAAATGTGTAAAACGTTCTGTAATGAAGGAAAAAATACTGAGTGCACCTGGTAGCCTATCTGAGCTGCGTATTCATGCATTTTTTTGAATAAATGAATTTTGAGTACAAAATGAGCATCATGATGTTTATTAGGGCCCAAGCCAGTAAGGCGCAGGGCCCTATTGTTTTTCTTAGTATTATTCTTATTCTTCTTATTATTATTACGATTCTTTCTAATTTTTTTCCACGGTTATTGGGGCTTTTGGGGCCCTTAATGTGCTCAAAAACTCTTGAAAATTGGCACACACCTTGGAATCTGCGGCCCTTAGAGCCGAGCGGAGACTGGTGCACGGGCGTGGCACAGGGGCTCTACAGCGCCCCCTGGAATATGGTGGGACATATATCATACATACTTGCATGTATACATATGAAACTCGGTACACATATAGATCTCATCGAGCCAAATAACTTTCACACTGCATGTCATACGCTCCGCCCAACAGGAAGTTGGCTATTTAGGGTTTTGTGAAAAACACATGCTCTGGAATTTGATATACTCGTCCTAGGTTTTTTACTCGATTGCCACCAAACTCGGTCAACATGATCTCAAGACATTGGGGATGAAAAATTGTGAGGGGATTTTTGATATCTCAAAAGGTTTGCCCGTGGCGAGGCAATGAATTTATGGCGAGAAATGAGAAACAGGAAGTGTCTAATAACATCCACATACATTGTCTGATTTTGATCAAACTTCTGGGGTTTGTTCGTTGTATGATGCCGATCGCATACATGTGACTATTAGGAGTCAAAGATATAGCGCCACCAACTGACGCACTGTAAAAAATAAGTGTAATTTTAACTGTAAAATTTGGTAAAAACGCTACGGAAAAAAAATTTTAATAGGTTAACAGTAAGTTCCCATACTATATACAGGGAAAAACTGTAAAATATCTAACCAGACATTTCATGTAATTTTACAGCAAAATGCTGTTAATTTTACAGTTTTTAGAAGTAGAAATAACAAATCAATGTATAATTTACAGTCAAAAACTGTAAACTGATATTCCCAGAATTCCCTGCATGACACTCCACATTTGAAAGTATTTTGTTTAAATAATCATGTTTTTTTAATAGTTTTTGTTATTAGTTATGTATATTTGGGCTTTATGTTACATCTTCTGTTGTTTAATGAAAGTTTAATGCATTATATAAGTATCATGTGTGTTACCATGATGGTGTTTTGTGTTTGCATGAATGATTCTGTGCACCTTCTGTATATTAGTATATACTTCTGCTTGTGGCGAAGCTACTTGTGATGATCTTTGATTCTTCATGTGGCTTTCTCTTTTACCACCTGCATTATTATGGTGGTTGTCAGTATGTTAAAGGTACAAAACAGATTTTAATAGCAGTGTGCATTGTTGAATTTACTGGTTTACATTCAAATTTTCTTGTTTGTAAATTACAGTTTTATACTGTAAAATGTACAGTTCTTGGCTGTAAATGTGTTTACAGTTTTTCTGTATTTTTTACAAAATTATTCTGGCAACCACAGCTGCCAAAATTATTTTGTAAAAACTACAGAATTTTTTTGACAGTGTATATTTCTTATTATTACTGTAATATTTAAACTTTTACTTTAATATTAATGTATATTTATTGTTTTAATCTATTAAATGGACTCATATTAATGCAGTTACTGTTTTGCACATATTCAGTTATCCTATCCTTATTATCATATCAGCATGCACTGCACATGAGAAAGACTTTGAGCAGTTTCTCTCATCGGACTGTTGTCCAGCCAGACGGTTCATAAGGTAAGACTTCCCCGTACGAGTCCCACCACAGACACCACCACCACCGGCTCATTGATCCCATCCAGAATGTCTCTGGCCTCTTTCTTCACACGCAGCTTCCCATTTTCATCGTTTTCAATGAGACACACCGGAGCGTACATGAGTCCGCCACACGCCATGACTCTGCAAAAGAAAACAATAAAACACAACAAAGAAATTCTTGTGATTTCATAGTTACACACAGAAATATAAAAAATAAAGATTACATTTTGATATTGCCTTATTGATAGACAGATGGAGAAAATGAGGCTGTTAGCCTACCGTTAGCGAAGTGAATTGTTGTTTTAAGCAGAAAAACATAAAGAAGTTGTCCCGGCTACAAGGCTATAGCATGTGAGGATCCTGCAGGTGGCGCATCGTTTGTAGCCTTTTCTCACAGCAGCTAGAATAATTCAATGTATCAATTTGATGGCGGATTGTAATCCAGACAGGATTATGTGTTTATGAAACACATGTGAATGAAATTAAATGATTTTCCAGTTTTAAATGTGCTTCTGATTACAGACAGCCTGGGATTACACAAGATTTGTATTTTAAAGATAACCAGTTCGAAGGGAGCATAATGTGCTTTTTGGGTAAAATAATTTCTTAATATGAAATTCGAATGGTATGACAATTAGAGATTAGACTGTCCAGAAATTGAAATCTACACACTAATACACACTACTCATAGCCACCAATGCTAATGTTGTTAACATTAATCATTTGAGAATAAAGTATAACAATAATAATAATAATAATTTGCACAGTTTGATGTGATATGAGCTAACTGATCTTTAGATTAAATCACCATTGGTACACTCTTAAAAACAAAGGTGCTTCACGATGCCATAGAAGAACCTTTTTGTCTAAATGGTTCCATAAAGAACCATTAACATCTGAAGAACCTTTCTGTTTCACAAAAGGTTCTTTGTGGCGAAAGAAGGTTCTTCAGATTATAAAAAGGTAAGAAAGAGATGGTTCTTTAAAGAACCTATGACTGAATGGCTCTTTGTGGAACCAAAAATGGTTCTTCTATGGCATCGCTTATTATTTATTATTTTTAAGAGTGTAGCGCGATTTATTGTAATGCTTTTTTCCTCAGTTGGTCAGAACAAACGTGGCAGACTTGTTACTTACTTGTTCAGATGACAATATATGGTGAAAATTCTTATTTGGGTCATATATTCTAAGACATAGGCTAGGATCTGTGATTGCGAAGTACAGTAAATATCCACACCGGTGCGGTGACTGACTGCCACACACACATACTCCTCAAAACATTAGATTCATCCGCGCTGGAACACAATAAGTGGCTGTGCCCAGCATGATTAATATTTAGTGTGTAGCATACTAATTAAAGGGAGAGTTCACCCAAAAATGAAAATAATTTACTTCCCCTAGTGTTGTCCACACATAACAAACATGTTGGTTTTAGCAGCATTCTTCAAAGTATTCTGCAGAAAAACAAATGTCAGAGGTTTGAAAAAACATACATAAATGATGACAGAATTCTGGGTTAACTATACTTTTAAGTAAATTACTAGAAACACTTTTCACTAGTCATCACTATGCAGACAGTGAATGCTGCGATAAAATGCTTGAAAAATACACATTCAGCAGATCCAAAGCTTGTTGTTGGACAGTAGGTCTCTTCAGTTAAGATTCCCCCAGTTTCTGCAGAAAATAACATGGTGTAATGGTCAATGCAGACATTTACTTACTTTCTCATTGGCTCTAACTGCCCCTTGCTAGTCCAGTCAAAGAAGTACAATAAAGATTATGTCCACTTTCTTAGACTGCAAGCTTTGCTTGGTGTTCACAGGTGTCTGAGGAGTAACGTCTGCCATTTCTTCAGCGATGAAAGCACTTCTCTTGATTACTAGAAAAAAAAGAATTATTAAAAGAAATATTAAATAGAATTAAAAGAAATTTGTGGCATGTTAAGAGAAACAATCAGTTATTCCTGTGTCTCTCTACATGTTGAGTGAAGAAGCAACTAAAGTAGCAACAAAAGTGATGAACTGTGATGCTGTGTTTTGTGTTGTATAGCCAGTTACATGTGTTTTGGCAGAGGTGAGCATCTGTACATGTACAGTCTGCTATTTAGTAACTTTAAAAGAAGAACAGATCTATTGCAGTTGATCTCAGAAATACTGATGCATATTAATATGATTGCAGTACATTCTCATCATAAAAATTCCCAAACTTTTTTGGCCGGGCCCCCCCTTTTTTAGAGAAAAATATTTTTACTGTATAAAGGCTATAACTAGAACTGAAATGCAAATTATTGATGGGAAGGGCTTCCATAACAAAAAAAACAAAAAAAACGAATTAATAGTTATGACTGTGGACTAACATTTCTGTCAAAATAAATAAACAATTGTGCACGTGTTTTATTATTCTACAGAGCCCATGAGCAGGATTTCAGATAACTGATGGAGCTGTTGTTTGTCAGCGTGAATTGAATCTGAAAACACTTTCACGTTCGATTCCTGCATTATGGATAGGCCAGTGATAGTGCATTTTTCCAAACAATGCCATGAATAGAGCAGAGGATAGGCAAAGGAGGTGTTTATCTGTTTCTCTGTAATTGTATGTACTTGCAGTGGTTTATGTAGGCCTAAAGATTTGCAATTTCTCTTCAATTAGATCAATGAGCCGGTGGTGGAGAAAATGCTGAATGTCTTTCTCAAGTGCAGTATATGTTGATATGATAATGAGAACATAGAAGCTGAATGTGTGTACATCTGTCAATATCTGAAAACAGTAGCTGCATAATAATAATGCGATTGTCTCAGGCTTTGCTCTCGGCAGCACTATTGAATCAAAGACCAAAGGCATCTGGATGTGGTGTGTCCCCCTCACCCTAATAAAAAAGGACACACTCTGGTGCTGCTGGACACAGAGGGACTTGGTGACGTGGCGAAAGTGAGCACAGTCACTACTCACTAACTACTACTAATAATTTCCCAGTCTCAGTTTGCCATTGGTACCTCAGAATGAACAGTATTAAGTTGTATTGTGTTCTGAATGAAGTTGCTTTGATCTGAAGACACTCTGTGTTTCAGGGAGACTCTAAGAATGACGGCTGGATCTTCTGTCTGGCTGTTCTGCTCAGCAGCACATTGGTGTAAAACAGCCGCGGCACCATCGATAACACTGCAGTGGAAAAGCTGCAGTATCCTTTAATCTGCCACACAACCCACTTCCTCTTTCACATATACAAAGTACACTTTACAAGATGCTGTTATTTCTTAATGTGCTGCAGCTACGTTGCTGAGCTCGCTGAGCATACCAAGATCAGGTCAGCAGAAGTAGCAGATGAGGAGGAAGGGGAAGATTCTGAGATTGTGAAGTTTTTCCCATCATTCACCTGGGTTGTGAGAGATTTCACCTTGGATTTGGTAATTGATGGGAAGAAAGTGACAGATGACAATTACCTTGAATTTGCCCTCAATCTGAAGAAAGGTATTTTAGACAGAATTACTGTCACACCTTCTCACTGTTTGGACTTTGTTTTCTTCATGGTTTCTGATTTGAGTTCATCATTAGGTTCAGGTGTGTCTTGTTAATTATCCTTGTTTGGTCTGTGTTGCTCTCTGTCTGTTCATTGTGCTCTGGTCTTACTTCTATGATACGTGTGTTGAATGCCTTCTCCTTGTTTGGATTAACCTATTTGTGGATTTATTAAAGACTTCTCATCTTTATCTTCGTGTGTGTTGTACAACACAGTTTGCTGACAGAAGACCGGACCTAAAAAGATTACATTTAGCAGCATCATTTCACCCGGTTTGTTTTTTCGTTTTGTCAGTGTTTTTGTTTGATCATGGACCATTTCGCCGCCGTCACCCTGCTGTGCCTTGAGCAGGGTAATCGCTCCCTCAAGGAACACCTGGAGGAATTCCTCAGTCTTGCTTATCTAACCACCTTCCCGGGATGACTGCCTCAGTACGTTCTTGAATGCTGGCCGGAACACCGCCACCATAGCGCATTTGTCCGGGGAGGGTCCTTGAGGGACTGTCCAGTCATCTTCATCCCCCATCTCTCTCTGTCATCTCCTCTTAGTTGTGGGGCTCCATCTCGGGCCAGCCTGGAGTCTCCGTCTCCTGGACCTGAGGAGCCTGTGGCTCCGCACCACCTCATCCCTCCGTCCTGACCCCTGCGCCTGTGCTCCTCCCACCCTCGTTTCCGGCATGGACCATCGGCCATTCAGCCTCGCCAGGCTCCCTCGGTCAGTTGGCTCCACCTGGGTCAGACATAGCCATGCCTCCGCTGCGGACTTGTGGGCCGTCCACTGCTCTCCGGCCCTCCTCCCCTTTGGCTCCAGCGAGCTCTGGCCTCTGGATCCTCACCTACATCTCGGGCAATCAGTGCTACGGCTCTGTCGCAGCTGCCTGGATCCTCAGCATTGGAATACCGTCCTGGCTGTGGCCTGGGCACCTGCCATCACACCCCTGCTCAATGCTCCTCCTTGGCTTTTACCTCCATCTTCTCCACCCTTAACTCTGTTTGTCATCCTCCTCCAGAACCTCCACCAGTTTTCCCTGCCGGCCACCTGCCCTTCGCCATCCCTCCGCCAATCTTCTGACCCTTCTCTCTCTGTGGTGCGAGGTCACACCTTCTGGGAGGGGGGCTATATGTCACACCTACTCACTGTTTGGACTTTGTTTTCAGTTTGCACCATTTTCACTGAGTTTGTTGTCATGGTTTCTGATTTGAGTTCATTATTAGGTTCAGGTGTGTCTTGTTAATTATCCTTGTTTGGTCTGTGTTTTTAAGTTGCTCTCTGTCTGTTCATTGTGTTCCGGTCTTACTTCTATGATACGTGTGTTGAATGCCTTCTGCTTGTTTGGATTAACCAGTCTGTGGATTTATTAAAGGGGTCATATGATGCTATTTTAAAGATCATTTTGTGTATTTGGTGTAACAGAATATGTTGACATGCTTTAATGTTCAAAAAACACATTATTTTTCAAATATTGTACATTTTTGTAGGTCCTTTATGCCCCGCCTCTCATAAACATATCGTTTTCAACAATGCCCCCTCCTTTGACAAGCGCAGTCTGCTCTGATTAGCCAGCTGACCCAGTGCATTGTGATTGGCACGCGTCAGAAATGTAACGCCCCTTACCATAATCGCGAGCTTCAGCTTTCAAAGTAAATATCAAGACAGTTAATAATGTCGTTAGTTTTACCATCAGTTCAAGCTCGAAAGGGCAACAGAGTCGCATGACAGACACAGTGATGATGCAGTACACAAGCCGCGGTTAAGACAGCTGATGTGCTATGATTTCTGACAGGCAGTTCACTCTCCTGTGATGTGACCCTGTTCCTGTTGTAAATAAATCTTAACCAATGATTCCTAATTGCATCTACTTCCGGAAGGCCAAATAAAGTGCTTTTGCTTTCTGGTAGTTCAACGAAGGAATATGTGATGCCTGTTTTCTCAATCGGGCTCAAACTGATAAGCGATATTAATGATGCCGTTGTTTACAATACAACCGGAGCACATGCCGCTGAGGTGAGGGGCGGGACGCATAGACGGGCACTAGAGGCGGTTTAGCCAATCACAACACACTGGGCTAGCTAACCAATCAGAGCCCATCGCCTATTTCTGAGGGCGGGGCTTCATAAAAACAGGAAAAGATCAGCCCATTTCTCAGAGAAGGGACAGAGCTGTGTGGAATAAAGGTAAATTATGTGAAAAATAATGTGTTATTAATAATGTTTTTTTTTTTTAAACGAGGCATTAACACATGTTAGACTGCACCCCATAAACACAATCAAGCCTAGAAAAAAACCAGTGAACCACCCCTTTAAATGGTTGTCCAGTTTATAAAGTGCATCTTTGTAGTTGTAGTCCTTATGAGGTTGGCGGTTTTGCCACAGAAATTTAAAATTAAAATCTAAATAAAACATTCAGTTGTACATTTTTTTTTCTGTAGTATTGAAAGTATTTTGAGGCTGCTTAAAAATACCAAGTAGATATTTTTACAACATTTTCAGCCACTTTAATCAGGAATGTACAGCCATGGTAAGAAACAGACACGACACAGGAGTGTTCCATGTTCAAGCTTCTTCAGAGGTTTATCCAGTGCCAAGGATACATTGTCATATACTGTATACACAGTCAGCCTGAATCAAAAGAATCATTTATTATATTTCACAGAAAACTGCAGTCACCACATTCAGCATACAGGGATGTCAAAATAAACAGCATAGCATTTCATCCATCTGATTACAAGCAAACAAAAACAAAAAAGTGAATACACTCCAATTGAGTTTAAGAACATTTGGTCTGTTAGATAAACATTTAAACACGAAAGTACCACACTATTGTTCACTAACAAAGCTCTTACTGGACACAGATATTGACCATAATTTCAAAATGGTCAAATATTGTGGTCTAATCATTGGACGGTTCACAGGAAGATTTACATCAGGATTCAAAGATTTTGTGAATCATTTTAACATTACATGGAAGAAGGCAGTCACTCTGATAACAGCTTTGATCATAGTTCATAACATATCTGTAACAAAGTTCGTTGTTACGGGAAGAAGGAGGTGGGAACCGGCGAACATTTAAACATAAAGCTTTAATTATAAAATAAACACACTGTCATCGCTCCTTCTCTTATCCTTCCGGAGCTCTTCCGTGGGTCTCGAGTGTGGCGTGCAGGTGATGCTCATTAGCACTCGCGTCACTGGCCTCGCTAGTTCCCACGGCTCTCGGCCGAGTCGGCCCTGCCCATGCCACAATACTGTATCCATTTTCAAAACAGTTTTGAAAGCAAGGACAGACCAAAACCAACTGCTTTAGGAACAAAACCCGGCAACAAAAAAGTCGCCGCAGTGCCGATACCATCCACAACCTTGCTTAGTGTGGAGCGTTGGGACGTTTCCTGTTTATTCATATCTCCTTTCAGGCTATCAACTTCTCTCTGCATCCTGGCAGCCTCCTGCTGAAAGCCCTGCTGTAGAAGAGCTTCCCTTTCCTGCAACACAAACAGCAACTGAATTAAGAATGGCTATTCCTAATCTTGACCATAAACAGCGTTTATATTCCAAAAACATTACAAAAAGAATATTGCTCTAACCTTGAGCATTACACTTCTGCAATTAATTCAAACAAGCCAAACATGTACAGACTCCATTGGTATTACAGACTCCATGTACTCCTTTAAGCACAGCATTGAACATGTGACACTTTTTTTAGAGTAAGCATCCTGTTTTACCTTCACTTTTGCTTCCAGGACTCGTTCATTGTCTCTCCTCATTCTCTCCTGCTCTCTCTCCATCTGACTAATGATCTGATTCACATGCTCATCGTGGGTTCTTTGCATGTCTTTAAACGCCTGCTCCTGTAACCAGTTCTGTTCCTCTAGACCTCTTTGCCACTGCTCCCGAATCTCATTCTTTAGTCTTTGCACTGTATTGAAAAAGCGAAAGTTTAGTCAATACATAAAACAGGTATTTAGTAATGAAAGACTGAGTTACTGTAAGTAAACAGTATATTAGTCACAAAATCTGTTTTTTACTCTTCTGTGCTCTAATTTAAGTCATTGTACTGTCTTGTCTATCATTGGGAGCCTTGACTGATAGACAGGTATGCAGCTGATTGAATTGTACCCTCTTTCTCCTGTTCCGCTGCGCTGAGAGATTGGTCAGCTTGTAGAATCATATTTCCAGCCTCTTCCTTTGCTCTCAAATATATACTCAACACTTCCTCACTCTGTGGGGAAAAACACATTTCTAATCATTCAAAATATCAATGGGAGTTTTGTTGGGATTGCAACAAATCATACTTTAAGGAAGGAAATTTATATCAAAATTTAAATAATTTACTCACCCTCATGTCGTGAAAAACCGACATGGTGTTAATTTTGTTGATGCTGCTATTTTCCGTAAAATGACAGTTCGTAGTTACCATGGCTGTCAAGCTCCAAAATGAAAATATTTATGTACCATAAAGTACCATAAATGTTGCCCATATGTCTTGTGCACTATATTAAATATCTTCTGAAGCCATATCATATTGAATGTCATCTGATAAATTGGAATATTGCACATCAGTTCATTAGTCATTCATGGTGTTGTTGTTGTGCTTTTTCTTCAACAAGTTTTAAAGTTTGACAGCCCTGATCATTACAAACTGTTATTGGATAAAAAGTATCATATGTACATTCTTCAGAATTTTTAGTTTTGTGCTTAAAATAATAACAGCATATAGATTTGCAAACCTGGGAGTGAGTAAATGTTTTCAAGTTTCAGTTTCACAACTGTTATCACGTCAGCATTAAAGATGTTTATCAGTG